CCGAGTGTTTGATGAGTGAATGAGTGGATTTGTGCAAGAAGCTAAGCGTGTTCTTAGTAACCTACATATACACTTCACTTTCAAACTCTTGGGCAGTGGCCTGTATCCCTGTTCATGACTCTCTTGGATCCCAGGGACACCAGGAAGGGCATGGTGAGCACACACCCTGGAGAGGCAGATGGACCTCAACAGACCTCGAACTCAGGCCTGACCCATTCTCAACTTCACCCTCAGAGGAACCCAGGCTTTTCTCCGCTTTTAGGAGAGCATGTCTGAGCCCTTTTGTCCCCTTCAAGCATCTCACCATCTCCTGTCCCCTGGAACTCTCCTAGGTTAGGAGGATGTAGGAGGGAAAGGTAGAGAAAGGGCCATATTTACTGATGAGCATCCCCTCTGTGCCAGGCACCGTGCTTATACCTTATGTGCATTTTCTCATTCACCCTCATTTTTCATTTGCCACCTTGTCGGATTACCGTGATTCTATTCATGTTGCATATGCAGAAAGTGAGGCTTAGAGATATTACCTGACCTCCCCAGGCCACTCAGGGGGTGGAGCCAGAATTTCAGGCCAGGACTGTCAATCTGCAGAAGCCAGGGTCTTGCTAATATGTCAAAGTAAGGACCCCACCCCCTCCCCCAGTAAGAACCTCCTGCCTGGGTCCAAGGAAGGTTAGCCCCTGCTCTCCTAAGGGCTGGATGGAGACCCTTTACAAGGAGGCAAGAGTGGACAACAGTGAGCAGTGAGCGCTGAGAGCCCAGGAGGCTGGGCCAGCTGAGCTCTTGCACCTCTTCTGTCAGGGGATGTAGCCAGGTATCATTACAGAAGGCAGAGCGTGGGTCAGGAGCTGGCTCCTCACTCATCATTCAGAGTCATCTTGAGAAGGACAGCTGTAGCTGATCCCACTTTGTGCACAAAGGGGCCAAGGCAGCAGGGCAGGACTTGAACTCAAGACTACATGCTATCCTAGATGACATTTGGGAACTTCACTGGGCCCTTATTTAAGATCTAAGCACAAATTAAGTGCCTTAGAGATCTCCTCACCAGCAGATTGTCCTCTAGAGGAGTAAGTGGGCACCCATCATGGTTGGCAAGGTTATGATTATGGCAGTGAAGATGACAATGAAGAAGAGGAAAAAGAGGAGGAGGAGGAGGAAGGAGGAGGAAGAGGAGGAGGAAGGAGGAGAAGGAAGGAGGGGAGAGGGGGAGGAGGAGGAAAAGGAAGGAGGAGGAGGGGGAGGGGGAGGAGGGGATCATGATGGCAATAATAACAGAGCCCCATGTATCCACCAGCCACTGTTCTAAGCACTTTATGATATAATAATCCTATGGAGTAGACCCAAGTATTATCCCCATTTTACAGAGGAAGAGACTGAGACATGGATGGTTAGGTAATTTGTCTGAGACCATACAAATGGAATGGGTTAGAGGTAACACTCGAGTTTCAGAGCCCGCACTTTTCTCCACAATGCCTACATCATATTTATCACACAATGAAAATGGCAATCACTATTTATTGAGCATTTACTATGCATCAGAAACTGTGCTAAGCACTTTATTTGCATTATCTCACTTAATTCTCACAAGAGCTTTAACACTTGACAGTATTATAGTTCCATTCACAGGATGAAAAATTTGAAACCATGAGAGGGTGGCATAATATGTGTGAGGTCATAGGACCAGCAAGTGCAGAGGTGATGGTCAAACCCAGGCAGCATGACTTCAGCCCCCCATCTTAACCACTGAGGCACACTACTGTGTGGCTATATATGCATGTGTACGTACACACCCTCTTCCATGATCCCATGTGCACACACACACACATGCATACCAGGTTAAACAACCCACACAGACTCACAGAAACACAGACACTAAAAACTGGCTGTGTTGTCACTAAGTTAGGGACCCAAGCCCTCAGTCTCAGGACTCTGTAAAGTAGTTCCTAAGGTGGGAGGCAAGTCTGCGCTGCAACTATGCAAATCTTCCTTCCCTAGTCAGGGCTCTGAGCATCTGGAAAAAAAACCTGTTGTGGTGTGGGGGTAAGACTATTTGCACTCAGGGCTGAAACTCCAGATTCCTTTCAATGTACGTTCACAACTGCAAATTCCACTTCCCAGGAGCTCCTGTTGGGGTTTGCGCCCCACCTTTCAGGATCCTCCCTGCCAATTAATTTCAGTGCAAATTGAACCCGAGATCTTGGCCAGAGGATAGAACCAGTTGGACCTGCATAACGATCTCCCCGGCTGCCTTGCAGAGTCTGGGCTTTCTTCCTTCCAGGTTGCTTTTAGGAGTATTTCCTAAGCTCCTGCCCCTTCCTGTAAGTCCTGGCCATAGACACTTTGACACAATCAGATCCAGCCACCTTACACCTCCCGAGGAGACACCATCGATAAGCCCGGCCATGCCCACTGTAATCACATCAGCCACCACACACCAACCATCACTGACAAGTTCTATCTCCAAGGATTCCTCCTAAAACTAGAAATGGGCAAGATGTTCCCCCACCTTACCACGAGGCAACAAAGGAGGCTCAGACAGAGGAAATGACTAGCTCAAGTCCTGACAGCCAGAAGAGAAGTTGGGTTTAAAACCATATCTACCATATCTCCTGGTTCTGCACCCCGACTTTCTTCCTGGTACCCAATGTGGCTCCAGTGAGCATTTCAGAGGAAAGAAAATGTCTTCCTTTAGGAGAGATGCAGGATAAGGTGACCCAAAGAGGGAAGGATTGCAAGTGACAGAGAGCTTCATGGGGAATTAGCTCAGATGAAGGAGTGGAGGCTTGTGACCTCCAGGCAGCTACTGGAGACCGGTTTGGCCAGAGCACAGGATGAAGAGTAAAGAATGGAGGGGCAAGGGCTGAACTGCAGCGCCCTGAAGGCCAGGCTAAGGGATTGGAAATGCACCCTGGACACCATGGGGAACCATCAGTGGTTTCTGAGGAGAACTAGGTGCCAATATTGCCAAAGAAAATTAATTTTTTTTTTTTGCGATGGAGTCTCTCTCACTCTGTCACCCAGGCTGGAATGCAGTGGCGTGATCTCAGCTCACTGCAAACTCCGCCTCCCAGGTTCAAGCGATTCTCCTGCCTCAGCCTCCTGAGTAGCTGGAATTATACACTGGGTTAATTTTTGTTTTAGTAGAGACAGGGTTTTTCCATGTTGGCCAGGCTGGTCTCAAACTCCTGACCTCAGGTGATCCGCCCACCTCAGACTCCCAAAGTGCTGGGATTACAGGTATGAGCCACCATGCCAGGACAAGAAAATTAATTTAAAGGCAATATCCCTAACAAAACACAGATCGCTTAAGAAGTGGAAGCACAGTTGGCTGAGCAGGGCACTCCTCTCAAAGTTAAATCTCCACTGAATAAAATCCCAGAAGCCTTTTCCAGCCAGTTACAAATTCACCTACCTCAGCCATCATCCAACCCTTGGCCTCAGAAAAGTAGAAAGATTAAAAACTTAGCCTCCAGATTCAGACTGCCTGGGTTTGAATTCTAGCACTGGCATTTACTAGCTGTGCATCCTTGGGCAAGTTGTTTAACCTTTCTGTGACTCCATTTCCTGATCCAGAAAATAGGAATAGTAATATCCCCTATCTCAGTCACTCATACAAAACCCAAGGTCACTGTCTGTTGACCTTGAAGAAAACAGAAGCTGGACAGGCTAATAGCCAGGCAAGTATATGGATCCCTTTCAGAAGATTATGTGATGGCCAGGACAAACAGTTGCACTCAGCTTCTGCCCTTCCATCTTCCCCAAATCACCTCAGAGTCTGAGCTCAGCCTCTCAGAATGCCAAAGCTATAGTTTAGGCAGAGCTGCATTTTGAAGCATTGCTCTTTTCTGGGGCAAAGATCAATGACTTGTTGATTTTGCAAACAAGGTAGTGACATGATCCAGGTTTGAAAGAGGACCCTGGTAGTCTTAGAGGACTAGGGTGGGAACCGGAGGTGAGTTATAAGACTCTGGGAATTGACCAAGAAGGAAGGAGGGGGATATTCCAAACTAAGATGTGGTGTGGAAATAGACAGGAAAGTGTATCTGAGGGGGGATACAAAATCAGATTTGTCCCCAAGAAATCAACTTGTTTCTCAAAAACTGAAGCAAGAACTCAAGGAGGTGATTTGGTATTAGCAGGCACCTGAAGACACATTCTCTCCCAGCTCTGCTTGGAGACAAGGTTCCCCTGACTCCATTTGCCTAGCTGTGAAATGGACCTAGTGACATTTATACCTGACCCCTTTCAGTGCAAGGTAAAGAGCCAAAGGTTTTTAGAGGAATACAAAGGATAATGGGGACATGGCTGCTCCCAGATATGTCTGGTTTCCCAGCCCTGCTTACCCACGAGAAATGTCCTCCTGCAAGCCTAAGAGCCACGCTTCATCTGGGTTCTCCTTCTAGAGAGCCTCTTCCTGTGTCAGTGAAACAGAAAGTAGGGGCTCGGAAAGGTTGATTTTGACTTGAGGACACTGAATACAATCTTTCTGGGTGTTTACAAAGTGTGTTTACCAAGCAGCCAGTCTCCAAACCCTAGCAACTGCTTAAAACAAGAGAGCTGCTGATTTGTGGAGTGTTTTCTTTTTTAAAAATATCACCATAAATGTTGGATTTAGAGACATTATTTCCTCTTAAAAATAACTTGTCAAGGGGACAAAAGTATTTAAGAGGCTTTCTTCTCAGCTCAGAAAGCAATAGGGAGGAGGAGTGGTTTGTTTTGGAGTTTTTTGGTTTTTTGTTTTCTGGGGATTTTTATTTTACATGCAGTTAGAGCAAGGATTAGGAGGAGTAGGAGAATTAGGGGGGGCGTTTGGAAAGCAGGTGGGATGGTGGTTAGCTCTTTTCCTTTGGAATCCCAAACCCCTTCTCTAATTGCTCCTTCCCTCACCTTTCTCTCCCCAAACCCACCAGGACTTGGGAAAAAACAAGACTGAGCTCTACTTTGCCCCCTTCCTTTCCCTTTGCCCCTCCCCTGCAATCCCACCCCAGTGCTCCCCCACCTACCTCTCGTATCAGATGTCAGCTTCTTCTTTCTCTCCACAGACACCACAATGTGTCCCCAAGTGCACCACTAATGGTATACAAGATTCTAGATGGTGCCATACAAATAAGCTTTAAAAACAATTTTAGCAGTATGTATTTTTTAGAGTACCAAAAAACACGGAGATAGATTATAACAGATAGGTAGATGTGATTGACAGATACGTGATATATGAATGACAGATAGATAATGGGTAGATAATGATTAACAGATAATTGATAGATATGATTGACAGATGTGATTGAAATAGATGATTGATAGATGATAGATGTGAATGACAGATAATAGGTAGATAGTGATTGACAGATAGATGATATGATTGACAGATAAATTAATGATTGATTGATAGGGTGAGCCAGGACCTCAAACCCATGCTTTCACAGATATTACCCTTTCCTCTTTAAGCACATTTTACACAACACATGTTCATTCAACCAATTATTGGGTTGTTATGGTCCTACTAAGGCATGATTCATGGTTCTCAGGAACATCAGTAAACAAAACAGTCATCAGACACTGATCTCACAAAGCTTATATGCTGGCAGACAGAATCAGAAAATAGGCAAGAAGTGAATAATAATCTGATAAATTCTAAAGTGATTAGTGCTGTAAGAAAAGAAATAAAGAAAAAAAAATACAAGAAAAGAAATATAAAAGAAAAATAAGCCAGGTCAGCGATGCTCAGAGAAGGAGAAGGAGTCAGGTTCCCAGATTTAATGGGGTGGTCAGAATAAGCCTTATAAAGGAGGTGAGATTTCAGCAAGAACTTGAGGGAGCTGAGTAATTTCACTACAGGTTTATCTGGGAGAAGAGTGGTTCGGGCAGAAGGAATAGCTTCAACAAATTGCCTAAAGAGGAACCCTAACCAGCCTCTCCCAGAAACAGACAGGTGGTCAGTGTGGCTGGAACAGAGTGAGCAAGGCAAGAAAGTAGAGGGAGAGAAAATCCGAGGAGATAGAGATCCTGGTCACTTATTTTAAATGCAATTAAAACTAAATGAAGTTTAAAATTCAGATTCTCAGCTGCATAAGCCATATTTCAAAGGTTTAATAGCCACTTGCAGCTAGTGGCTATCTTATTGGATAGCACAGATAAGAAAATTTTTCTCATCACAGAAAGTTTTATCAGGTGACACTGATCTCAAATGTTCTTCCCCTCCTTCTTTGACTTGTTTAACTCTTATTCAGACTTTAACAGCTCAAACATCACTTCCTCCAGGAAGCCTTTTCTGATCACTCTTACCCATTCATCAGCTCCACTGCCCTATGCATGCTCTCAGAGAGCCAGGTGGCTTTTCTTCATATCAGTTATCTCTTTTTGAAATTGCACACTCATGGCTGTGCTTGGTGGCTTGTACCTAAGTCCCAGCCACTCAGGAGGCTGAAGTGGGAGGATCACTTGAGTTCAAGAGCTTGAGGCTGCAGTGAACTATGGTCACTGCATTCCAGCCTAGATGACAGAGACTCTATTGAAGAAGGAGGACGAGAAGGAGGAAGGAATTGTATGCTCATTAGTACAATATCTTACTGATGTCTCTCTCTCCTAATAGATTGTAAACTCCATTGTTTCTGTTTTGGTTCATTTCTATATTGCCAGCACCTAGCACAGTGTCTGGCACATGAAAGGCAAACAATTTGTTCAATGATCCACTGAATGGTTTTAGGTGGCAGGACTAGAAACAGAGTATTCACTAAATAAAGGGTTATAGCACCGTGGAGAACTGGGATTCAGGAGGCTCCTGGGACCCAAAATTTTTTTGGGTGAGAGCATCACCAGAGGCTGGAGTCCCTACTGCACCAAACCTGGACTCAGCCCAGGACCCCTACATCGTTTTTGCACCCACCTTCTCACCAAGGTCCCCACATGGTGTCCCTCCAGGATAACAACAGAATAACATCTGTCTTTACTTGAGAAACCAAGTCCCAGATATTCACAAAATGCCTTTTCATTCCTCCAGTCCTGCACTTGTAGTAGCAGCGGCGGCAGCATTGAAATACTTGCTTTTGCTGCTCACAAATCCGAGGAGTGGGGACCGACCTTGGCACATTTGCTGGCATGCCTGGCTAGGCACGGACAGTGCCGTGTGCTCCAGCACGTATGTGGCCGCCCTTATGGAGGAAATGCTGGACTGCACAGCCCTGGATCTGACAGGTAACACGCAGCAGCTGCATGATTTACAAGGCCTTGTGGGAAGAGGTTTTGTCTCCCACTTTGAGAGCTTGAGTGCTTCATATTAATATTTATGGGAGTCTGGGGCCTCCATTAACCCCACCAGTACCACATTTCACTTGTTACATGGTGCCTGTCTGTGAATGAATGCAAAGGCCAGTGTTTAATTGCACATGCATATATGCATGTGCATGTGAGGATGTATATGGACCCATATGCATTTTGGGAGAGCATGTGTACATGTGCAATCAATTGTATTTCAATGTGAGTATGAATATATGCAGCTATGTCCACATAATTGTGAATATTGTATGCATACTGTAAATGCATGTGCATGAGTATTTGGACATGCCTGCATATAGGCATGAATACATATGCATACCTGTATAATGCATGTGTATATATTTGTGTGCATGTATGTGAGCACATGAGTTTGTATCTAGCAAATGAACACATGTGGATTCTGTGCTCCAACATGTGTGCAGGTCTGCCTCCATGTGTGTAAGCATGAGTGTATACATATGCATGTTTATTCATGCACCTGCTCTAAGAGCATATGCATATCTATATGCAGGTTTAGAGCTTCAACATTATCCCAGAAACAGCTTTCATTAAATTATGGGTGATTCCATAAAAATTGCCTCACCTAGAGGCTGCTGCTTCTATAAACACTTGCTCTGGTAATTATGATATATTTACTGGAAAGTTCAATTGAGAACAGATGAAAGGTGAAAGAACTGTTCATTAATTGCAAACTACCAATGTCCCAAGACAATGATGCTCAAAGTGTCCTCCTCCACGACACACACACACACACACACACACACACACACTTCTCACTACGATACTCCTCTGCCAGCGATTGAAATGAGCAACAGAGCTGCAGTTTCTGACACTCTTGTCGTCATGTTTGCACGGCTGCATCTCCAACTTCCCATCACCCATCTTTTGGCCCGGAGATGCAAAGAGAGCATCTTATAACTAGAGAGCATGAAGCACACCCTTATAAATGTAACTATCCTCTGCAGAGGGAATTAGAGAGGAAACTATCACCAAAGACTATGTCCCACTCTTCCATACTTTCCCCCACCTGAGTGTTTCAGATAAGACATAGTGGACTTGTAAAGTTTGGTGACAAAAATACAAATTTCAGCATCAGATAGGTGGGGATTCAAGTTCTAGTTCCTCCATAGGGTAACATTGAGAAAATAGTAACCGCTTTGGGCTTTATTCATCTCTGACCCGCAGATAACAGTAACCCATGCTTCACAGGGTTAAGTGAAACGTAATAATGGAACTAATCTCACAGTTTGGCCACATTTCTGATATGTGACCTGTCTGCCCATTATCCACAGAAAGGGACATGTGTGCCATGCTCCGGCTCCCAGAACACAAAGTAGGATAGTGTCAAGCCCAGCAACGGGAAGCGCATCCCTTCTCTGTCCACTCAGAACAGGCAGAAGTGAGCCCCCAGGTCAGTCCAGGACCATAATCTTTTGTAGAGTAAGGCTCAGGTGCCTGTAACACCAGCAGAAACAGGGAAGTGAAGGTGGCAGATCCAGAGAAGAAACAAAGGGGCATGAGAGTAAGGGCAGCTGTGGCTCCTGAATCTGATGGAGTCCTGGGCTATGATCAATGCCTGCCTCATGCTCCAAACCTCTGAAATGGGCAGCTTCTATTCTTCCACGCTGCTGTCCATTTACTGGGAGGAGTTCAAGCCTAGGTAAGCTGTACAGATCTCCAAAACAGAAAACACAACAATATAAACAGTGGATTTGTGGGTTTCATCTTCCTGCTGATGCTGAAACTGGTTTCTTCCAGAAAGTACCAGAGCTCCTCCCACTGCCTCTAAAGCTGTCCCTCTAGCCCAAAGACAACATCCGTTTTTGATACAAATATGAAAGAATGTATAATGAATGGCTCGTATTTTTTATGAAAGTAACTTCACATGCAAAGAATGCAGAAAAGCAGCTAAAACTGAGTTTGGCCTCATAACAAATTATTAATATAGGTGGTTTTCTGCATTGAAGTAGTAACTTATCTGATGTATTTTAATTCTTCCGAATGAGAACACTGAGCTCTGATTTTCTTATCTAAATGTATCTTTTAGGAGGCATTCTGGGATAATATATATAATGCATCTTATATTATCCTAAAAGGATTATCTTTTAGTATGCATCATTTAGGATAATATGCGTAAGACAATGGAGGAAGACATTAAGAAGACTAAGTGTGAGGCATAGGAAATTGACAGAACGTGGTAAAGGTGTTCAGAAATGAAGGAGGCATACGGGATGCAGAGGAGTTATAGAGAAGGTGCTCGCCAGTTGAAAGAGGTGCTCTCCACGATCTGGACACATGCTCCAAAGGGCAGGAACTAGAGAAAGAATAAAATTTCAGCCATAGTAGCTGCCGTCTTCACCAAAATAAGGCTAGGCTTCTAGGCCAGGAAAGCCTAGCCTGGAAAGCCCAGTGATGCCTGCTTCCACGGACCAGGTACACCCTGGATGCAGGACTGTCCCTTCACTGCAGCTGGATTGTCTTCTGCATGTACTGGGGTAGGTAGCAGCACAGAGCAGCTCCACCAACCAGGCTGACTTCTTTTAGGAGGGTTGCTGGAAACCATGCTGTCTACTGGATGTGCCATTTGAGGACTTTTGTTTTGGTGGGGGGAGGAGGAGCAGAGCAAACCTCTAATCTTCCCTCCCTTACATAACAAATCCAAACACAACTATCTCTGGGATGAGAGGCCAGGCCAGCAGACTGCAGGCTGCAGAGGGAAGGGTTACGCAAGAAGCCACTTCAGAGTTTTCCTTTCTGAAAACAGAAGGGCCCAGAATGCACATTTTGCATCTGAAAGCCTGCAAGGGAATGATCAGAAACTCTAAACCCACTGTCTCCAGAAGCCCGGAGAGGAAGAGCCTGGGGAGTGGGGATGGGAGAGCAAAGGAGTAGGGGGTTTCTCTGGTGTGGCAGAAGCTGCAACTCCAGGTCACAGAGAAAGCCAAGTGACCAGCCTGGTGGATCTGGCGTGGTTCCTGGCAGTTCCCACTGCAGTGTGGGTCCAGGAGTCCCCTGGGCGGGCACAGGCTGAAGCAGTAGGTAGGAGTCCAGTGCCCTTTGACAGGCAGGGGTGTTGTCCTGCCACAGAAATGCCCAGAGACCTGGGACTGAGGGAAGCCTGCCTGACCCACTAAAAGAGGCCCACGCTTAGCTTTCCCGGAGATCCCTTCCGTGGGAGCCGGAGCAGACCGGTGCCCGTTCCCCGGCCAGCGGGGCGCCGATCCCCAGCCAATCAAGCCACCGGGGGAACCTGGAAGGGAAAAGCGGGATAGTCGGAACAGTCAAGACAAGATCCCGGAGCAGCTGGCCCTAGCGCTGCGCGGTGCTCGGGGGACTCCAGACTCTCCCCCCGCACACTCCAGCCGCCTCTAGACCCGGCTCGGCAGCCCTTCCCCACCAGGCAGCATGGAGATAAAAAGCAGAAGAGAAATGAAAACGGAAGGAGAAAGTTTTCTGCAATGAAAGAGGTTACGAAGGACGGGCTAAAAGAATGGGAAATATTACAGAAAGAAAAAGGATGCCGGGAGGCAAGGGAATGGGGCCTCAGGCTCCCACCCGTCCCCGTGCACGAGGACCCGAGGCTCCCAGCAAGCCCTTGTCAAGCGCCTTCCCCGAACCGCCTCGGTGAAGGTGGCGGCGGCAGATTCAGCCCGCAAAGCCTCCCGCACATCCCTGAGATCCGGGATCGCAAGAGGCGAGATTCGCCCAGGACTGGACGGCAGCCACTCCAGCTAGGGGCGCGGTCCGCTGCGAAGCCCTAGATCGGTGGCCTGCGTGTGCTCCGTGCGTGCGTCCCGGTGTCTGAGCGTGTCTGTCTCTGAGTGCGTCTCCGGGTGCAGGCGCCAGCCTGTCTAGGTGGGATTGGTGCTGGCTGGAGGACTCCCGGCGCTGGAAGGATTTTCCACCCGGGATGTGAAGGATTGTGAGGAGCCCGCGAGCCACGGGGAGCGGTGGGAACGGAAAAGGAGGATGACGGCGGCGGGGTGCCGCTGGGGTGGGACGTGCGAAAGGGCCTTGGGACCCAGTTTGCTTTTCCTGGGCTTGTAGGCTCTAGGGCGTCTTGGCGGGTCTGGACGGCAGGCAGCAGGCCGAGACGTGGCCGGGGCTTGCCTGCTGTGCGAGTCCGCCCTGGAGGCTCGGGAAGCCCGGGCCTCCTCCAAGGAGCTGCCGGCTCCGCCTAACCCTCGCCCGCTTGCGCCCCGGGCGGGTTAGTGCTCACTTGGTGGATTGGTACGGGAACTGACAGTGCCTCAACGGCAGTACCCGCACCATCAATGTGGGCAACAATGTGCATGCAGGGTGTAGGTGTCTGTATATCTGTGTGTCAGTGTGCCTTTACGACTGTGTTCTGGGATTGTCAGACTCTCCGAGATGCAGCTGGTCACTCCAAACCGTCCTGAAGCACTTTGGCTTCTGGATGCAATGTGATGGCATTGGTCACTGGGTCAGTGTCTGTGCTTCTGTGCTCCGGGGAAGAAAAGCCAACACGAGTTTCGACCCTCCCCAGGTCAGAGGCTAAGGATGGAGGATGTCAGTCTGCTTGGGACGATTCCAAAGGGAGTCAGGCCACCGGATTTAGGGCCTCCACCAGCCAGGAGTTCATGAACTTTTTTGTCTCTGAAACCATGCAGTGGGTTTCTTCTGGCACCCCACATGAGCAAAGCCTCTTTCACCGCATAGAGGATACATGTGTACATGCAAAAACGTTCTGTGCAGGAACATGAGCGTCTGCAGTTACCGGGCTAATCAAAGCCCCTTGTTCCTTCATTCATGCACTTGCAAGCAAAGGTACCACAGAGCCAGGCTCAGCTGCCTCCTCCTTCCAGATCACAGCCAAAGCCTTCCCCACCAGACGCATCTTTCATCTTTGGGCTGGTGAAATGAACTGGGTCTTGGAATTAAATTCGAGCTAGAATCCCAAGCTTCTCTCCTATTGAACGACACCAACACATTCTATAAATGTACATGACTATTAATGTTATCTGTATCCTTAATTTTTAGGTTCCCCTCCTCTTCTCTAGACCTCAGCCATCACTACCTCTGGGCTTCCAGGGATTCAGGCCAAAATCTATTCCCTGTTAGTTTCACTCTCCCCTTCCTTCTTTCAGCTCGGATTCCCAGCTGGGGCTTCACTTCTTGGGTCTCCTATGCCTCCCCATTAGGGTTCTGAAACTCCATGTTAAGAACCCTGAGCACAGAGGACCCCAGGGCCTAAAGGCTCAGCCTTCTGGACTGCAGATAATGAGTCTGAGGAGACCGGAGCCCCTCGGAGCTGGCCATTGCCAAAGGATCACACAACTCTAAAGGCGTTGGAGATCCTACTTCACGTCCTAGATGTGTCGGAGGCCAACCCTGTTACAGACAGGAATCCAACGAGGCTGGGAGGGGTTTGGGGTGATCTAGGTGGGCACTACTCTTCCAAAAATACAGAAAAGGAAAGATTCTAGGGCCACCTTCCGTTCAGGGATCTCCAAGCTGCAGCTGAAGCTCCTGCACTGGAGGGATGACCCAAACCCCTCCAACACCCAATCCGAGGAGCCACTAAAATTCAGACTGGGCCACACAGTGCCAGTCTGCAGAGCTGAGGAATCCAGGCCTGAGTGCCAGTGCACCCGAGGCATATTACCCTCAAAAACACAAGTCCACAGAGAGGAGCTTCCTGTCTGGAGGGTTTTGCACCCCAAGATCTAGTGCTAGGTTGTACCTGCTTCCATTAGCTTTGGGGTGAGGGAGACAGACCCCATTCAGAGAAGGTATCTGGCTCCAGGCAGCTCCAGTTGCTCCCAGAGAGATGCGCTGGGTAGGAGAAAGGAAACTTGCACCCCAGGCAGGAGGGGAAGGGCCCCGCCTCAGCTGGGCCAGAGCCCCTAAAAGACTCAGCTTCCCCATCAAGGTGGCAGCTCTTGGCTTCCTAGTCTCAATCACTATTTCAGAGCAGACAGATTAGCAAGTCAGTCCTGGTGACCAAGACTGAAAGCATTTAAAAAGTGCCTGAAAGCACTGAAAAAGTGGCGTGTGCCTGATACCCAGGGACTCCAAGGCTTTTTGACCTGCGCCCTCTCAGCTCACAAGCCAGTTCTCTTGACAGGGGTCTGTACCTAAGTTGGGAAGCAGAGAACACATTTGAGTTTCATGTATACACACACTCACACACTCAAGGAAGGGATTTCCTAGGACTTGGTTTGCTCTTCCATTGGCCATGGAGTGAGAGTACCCCAAAGTTGGTGCGACTCTTGAGGAAGCAAGAGAAGAAAGTCAAAATCATGCGAACGCAGAGTCTTCTAAATAAACAGCATTTCCATGGTTTTAATAAGCAAAATAGGAAACCATTTTAATAACCAAAAAACAGAAACCAGTCTGAATAAAACTACAATAGACTAGGTTTTAATATTTTCATATCATAAGCAGGGTTTGAAATTGATCCCTTATTTTACATGAAATAAAAACAATTTCTGTTGCGGCAGGTTTGATTTCAACACAGTTGAATCTGTAAAAACCAAAGCTCGTTTCTGATGCAGGACAAATATCCACAATATTTAAAACTGCAAGCACCATGCGGTTCATACAATCTTGTTATTACTGTTAATTTATCAACTAATACAAACTCAAAAATGCATCCGGCCAGCAGCGCCAGCAATTTCAAATGGGAACTTAAA